GCAATTTCGTCATATTTTTTCATATAACAGGACAACGCAGGGCATGAAAAGCGCTTTTTCACTCGCTGTACACGTACGCCAGTTACTCGCATAAACGATATAAAGCGTGAAAAAAAATACATGCGTCGCTTATAAATTAAAATTTGTTGATCACATTCTTCCGATAGATAGTGAATAGTGCTCGCTTTGTTGACACTGACGGACACAGCGCACTAGCGAGTGGTACCTTCAGGAAAGTAAAAACAGCTTCTTAGAGATTGCGCACATAATCAAATAGGCAGAAAATGCTAAATGAAATAGAAGAATAGAAGGATTTCACTTGAATGTCATGTGTGTATGAAGACATTTTATGACGCAGTGACGAAAGTGTGTATCTGGGGAATGAAGAGCCTGGCACAACTACATCCGGTATATGGAAGCATGGAAGAAACATAATTAGGATGGGATACCCACACTGATATTTGAAGGATTTTATTAATTTTCTAGCTTTCAAGAGAATAAATATTTAAGGCAACGCTTGCTACGCAAATTGTTTGGTTTTCGCCCATGTGGGCTTCCTGGTGTCGAATTAACTTGCTTTAGTCAGCAATCATTTTGTTATAAACCCGACACTTGTACGGCTTTTCACCAGTATGAATTCGCATGTGCTTTTTCAGATGAGCTTTGTACCCGAAGCTCGAATTGCATTGGCTGCATTTAAGCGACTTTTCATCAGTATGAATTCTGTAATGTCTCCGTAAATCTCCCAGTTTTCTGAACTTTTTACCGCACTGTTCGCAGCCGTATGGTTTTTCGTCAGTATGAATTCGTATATGCTCTTTCAGTTGAGTTTTGTGTGCAAAGCTCGAATTGCACTCGTTGCATTTAAATGGCTTTTCATCAGTATGAACTTTGTAATGCCTCTGTAAAACATCAACTCTTCTGAACTTTTTATCGCACTGCTCGCAGTCGTATGACTTTTCATCGATACCAATTCGCATGTGCTTTACCAAATCAGCTTTCTGTCTGAAGCTCGAGTTGCAGTAGCTACATTCAAGTGACTTTTCACGCGCATGAATTCTGAAATGGGCCTGTAAGGCATCCATTTTCCTGCACTTTTTGCCGCATATGTTGCAGTTCTGTAGTCCTGCAGCAACAGTATGAGTTCGCATGTGCCTTTGCAAGTGAATTTTCTGCCTAAACCACAAACTACATTGGCTGCATTTCCGAACGGCTTTTCGGCAGTATGGGTTTTGCAGTGCACTGGTAAAGTTTCCACTCTTCCAGTTCTTTTACCGTACTGCACGCAGTTATACGACCACCGTTCACCGATGTGAAGGCAAGGGATCTACGCCATACAGCCATTAAACCCACCTATTTCAGTCCCACTCCCCGCCCCGGGATAACCAATAAACCAGTTGACGATCTTTCCTAATCAGCGAGCATTCACCGGGAAAACGACCGAGCTCCCTATCCGAACTCTCGTCACTCGTCGCCAGATAACCCTACCCGTCGCTAGAAAAAATTTTTCGCAAATAGTGCATGACACTGGCCGAACCGAGCCAAGCCGAGTTTTAGTAATTGCCGATTTTCTACTATCGGCCATCGCAACTCGCCTTCCGATCTGGCCGAGTCGAGATGTTCCGGGTGTTTGGCTGCAGACGGGTTTTTGTAGGGCAATTTCGACTCATAAATTTTGCCATTTGCTGAGTCTTGTTTTTTCTTGTATTTCCGCTTTCTCAGTTTTTATTTGCTTTTGCTTTCTTTAGCTTTTATTCATAACGATGCGGGGAGGGAGTGCGAGTGTCGGGAGTGGTCTTTTTCAAGGCGGATTCTGCGCGATTCGTGTATTGTTGCCTTGCGGCCGAGTTTTTTTGGCAGGTTTCTGCTAAAAGGTGTGTTTTCAGGCCGGTTTATGGTACTGGATGAAGCTCAGCTATTGCAATTCATTACTGGTTCTGCGGTGTATCACTGTACTTCTTGCGGTGTTGCTTGCCAGGAATTATGATATCATCCACAAAATGCTTCGGATCCTCTTCAGTGCACCAGTTTCAAGCGTCAAACGGGAAAAGTTAGTTTTTATTTCGTCCAGGAAAATTACTCCTTAAAGTCCGGGAGTTTCCTTGTCTATACGTTGTTAAACAGGGAACATCCCCCTAAAATTTCAACTTCCAAGCTTTCCTTGCTCCCGAGTAACCCTTAGTATCATTACCCACTAGGCTAGCTGGTGCAATGTGTTTTTGCGCTAAACTTAGAAGTCGCTAACAGCAGGAATAATCCCTACGCAGCGGTTTAACAGTTGCAGTGATGTTGGCTCTGTCTTTCCTCGCATGCACGGGGAAAGAGCTCGGCTGGGATGAAGGTGTTGCATTGCGGGACCGCATGGATCTGCAACGCACGTGATTGTCAGTTTTTTGCATGAAGCCCGGTCGTTTTTCCGGTGAATGCTCGCTGATTAGGAAAGACCGTTAAATGTTTTATTGGTTTTCCCGTGCCTAGTCTGCGTTGCCGATATTTCGACTACGTGTGGCGTGTTTCATCTGGCGATGGCTAAATTTACCTGATACCTCGAAGATTTTTGCGTAAATTTTTCCCCGCTAATCATACCAGTTCTTCAGTGTTGTCACAACAAATCGAAGTTGGAACGATGTGAATATATTCGCTCCTCCGAGGCTCAACAATCGTTTGGCCGAAACGTTGCGCCTCAATGAATTGCTTGCTCGACAACAATACAGATGCGAAAATGCGATGAAAGTGAGGGATGATAAGGGTGGCTTCACGATCTGCGCCGATGGGAAATTCAATAAATCTATTAGGTTAGCATTTTTTTCAAGCTCAAATTCCTTGCATGAAGCCTGGTCGTTTTCCCGGTGAATGCTCGCTGATGAATTATAACTCACGGAAGACGGCTGGAGTGGCTTGTGCAGCTGTACAAAATGCTCCTGTAGGGCTGCGGAAAGCACTCGCCCAAACCAGTAAACAATGCTTTTTATTTATGAAAAGCAAAAACATACAAATAGGAATCAACCGAAAAAAGAACCACGAAGCACGAATGATTCGGCCCGCAAGCACGGAAGGTCTGGCGATAGCTCCAAGCTGCACCACACCTTGCTCAGTAAAACAATCGTTTCATTTCTAATCACGTCATTACATATCATGGAGGAGGAAACTCGAGTCAGGAGACGGGACATTTGCATATCACATGGAATCGACGGGCAACTGGGCAAGGCGAAGGGGTTTAGCTGACAGCTTCGTTTCCTTGCAAGTTAACGCCTTCCTTTTACAGCAGAAAAATACACGCTTCATAATCTTCTCAACTTCATAATCTCTTCTCCTTCCTTCCTGGTCTTAAACTTCACCACATTCCTAATTCTCCCTCTTGATAGTGGTTGTAACCGATAGTGCATCTTTCCTCGAATTTCAGCGAGGCATTGTTTATCAGTGGTTCACCGGATGATTATGCTTCACTACTGATCACTGTGATGCCGGAACGGTGGACTTTTTTCGTCCCCGAAGGATTTCAAGTTCTCGAGAAACTAGGAAATGTTGGTGAGAATATCTCTTTTGTTTTACGATGGGTTAAAAAATCATACAGAAGGTTTCAGCCGATTTTTTGCGAATATTTCTTATGAGTTAACAAGAAAATACTCAATTGTGTGACAAAAACAGTGTTTCCGTAGGCCCAATCTCCCTCGATTTCTTCAAAATCTGTTCAGTTATGCAGTTAAACTACTTTCGGTTCCCTTCAGTCAAGCTAATTTCTCGTACTTTTTTCGAATCCCTTCATATTTTGCGCCTCGTAGAAAGTGAAATACGGAAAAGGGTTTCACTTTAAATTCGTTTTGAGCGTGTGATTAGTTCAGTACGACTAGTTTTTTCACATTTTGAAGTTTTTACAGTCTTTGTGCCTTCACACGGCCACACACCTATTTCATTGGTACTTTAGCATCGCCAGCTTCTTCAGTTCTATTTTATTTTAATAATTTTTTCGCTTTTTTTCTCCGTTTTTTCAAGAATTTTACATCTATTTTAGATGCTGAAATGCATTATCTGTTCGATTTGCAAGAGAATGGCATGTGGAGCACCGATGAAATTTTGTATGAATTAGCAAACCGGCGTTTTGACACCGCTTTCATCAGCATTTACTCACCGTTTGTTGGTGGGCTCTCGAAGAAAGCTCGAATTGAAGAATTGAACGGTGCACCGAAACTTGTCGAAAGGATCTTGAAGGTATTTTTTCAGTTTTTTGAGTGTTAAATAAAAGTTAGTTGGCAA